GGAGACGTCAACACTTTCCTGAACAACTTGGTCTATTACGACAAAGAAAAGATTCATCCGGATATCATCAAGCTGTGCTACCTTATTTAAAGGTACATTTTGATCATTGCATGTATTTGATAAAAATGTACTTCAGAAATAAATATTTCACATCAAATTCTATTTTTCAGGACAAAGAATTCGATCCAGTGAAAATCCTTGCCAAGTCTGCTGCAGCAGCCGGTCTCTGCGCCTGGGTAATCAATATTTACAAATTCTACGAAGTTTTTGTGCATGTCGAACCTAAAAGAAGGGCTCTTAATGCTGCCAATAAAGAGCTGCAGGACGCCAGGACAAAATTGGAGAAGCTCACCAACCAGATTAATGTAAGAGATAAATTTATAAGAAACTAGATGGCCCGACAGACGTTGTCCTGTACCCACCCCTACAATTTTTTAATATTGTTACGAATGTGTGGGTGAGGACCCGCACACGGATGTAAATAACACATTACTACCTACCCCCCCTCTCCCTATGCGTGTATCCATGTCCCTGATGAGGAATGTGTCCGCAGGCTGAGGGTGGTTGTCTGCATTGCGTAGTCTAGATATAGTCGTAGTCTTGAGGTAGTCGGGTTTGAGAGTGCCGGCGTGGCCTCAGTGTCGACAAACGTGCGGTCCAGCGCACGAAAGTGTTAATAAAAATGTATTGAATGTGAGATTAGAGGACCATCATGGGGGGAAACAGCGTTCGGAGAACTGTCCCCAAACATAAAGTAGACTTCAGTGAAAATACTAAAGTGATGGTTAAGTGATTTATGTGATCGGGCCCGATGTATGGACATGTGATGGACACTGGTTGCGCCGTGGTTAAAGATAAGTCTAGAATAAGTGCATGTTAGAATAAAAATGTTTTAGATTAAGGGATTGTTTGTTTTAAATATAGGTTTGTTAATTAAGTAACAAACAAACGCCTTTTCATTAGTAGTTTTAAAGTAATCAGTTTTTCTTACAGGATCGCGACGTCACGATAAGGGTTAGAAAGACCGCGAATGTAACAACACAGTAAATTAGGGCATGAATCAAGGTAGTAAATAATAAATAAAAAGGGTTCCACAATAATAAAAAGGGTTTCGGACAATATGATATCTAATATTTTACCGTTTACCTAAAAATAATATTTATTGTTTTTTAAATTACTCTTCACGCCAAAATGCATATACATTTATAATATGAGCGATTGTTAAAAGTAAAACTGCTTTAAATAAAATGATGAGTCGCAATTCCCACACTATATTGGAAATTGAAGTCTTTTAAACGGTATAACATAACCATAATCATAACCATAACACTGGTATTTCATGTTGGATTAAATTCATTTAATTTTTTATTATTTAAGATATCCAAAATTGCATCTCAAACTTGTCCTAATCGATATCGTGAGGGACGAATTGTATGTATTCATCTTTACTTTCCCATTTGTTGTTATAAAGTGAAATTTTTACGAATTTTAAAAATATTGTGGAAAGATTAGTAAAAGATGCAAAGAAATTATATATTGAAAATTTAATATCCGAATCTTGTGTTGGCGCCCCTTAGGGCGTGCGCACGTATTTTTCGCATGCATCGCATTAAAGATAGGACCGGCCCTAATTATTTTTTAATTTCATATTTTATTATTTTGCCATATTCTGTTCATATGTGTATCATTCAATCTGCCAAAAATACACTATATTCAACTATATTTATATTATCTTATTAACTTATTTCCGTAGGGCAAAAAAATCGAAAATGAAATTTTTTATATATCTTTACGTTTCAGAGGTTTCTGAACATTTTGTCATACCTTAGAAAAAATGGATGTATGTGTGTGTGTGTGCGTGTGTGTATGTGTGTTCGGATACAATTTTAGGTCGACGATTTCGGGAACACGGATCAACCGATTTGAATAATTCAAAAAACATTCGATACGTATTGATGAGGAGACGTGCTGATTAGTTTTCGGAGATCTAATGAAAAAAGTAAAAAAAAAAATGCCATTTGGCGGTCAAAATGATCATTAGACATATGCACATCAAATTATCAGATATTTTATAGAGATTTTAACAATAAGCATAAATTTTGTTTGCATTCCTATGGGTTCCGTACCAATGTTTATTCGTTAGATGGCGACGCGGCGCTTACGCACTCTGACATTTTGTTTCTTTGCAGTTAAAGCAGTACGATTGCTTTGAAAAATGTTCAGAATTTCCAAAATATGTCAAAATAAAGAAAATATTTTTTTTTTCAAGAAAAAAATTTTTTTTAAAAGAAGGTAATTTTTTGTCAAATAATCTAATTTTTTCGAAGTAAAATTTTTTCAAAAATGTTAATCGTTTTTAAAAAGATAATAATATTTGGTACGGGAAGTTCCCGCAATTTGCCTTAAGGCTAGATGTCATGAGCCCCACTAGTTATTTTAATTTTTGGCACATCTCAGCTACTTTTTAGCAATAATAATGCAGACATTTCATTTATTTCATTCATAATCATAAATTTATTATACATATTCTAATATTGTCTAGGTTCATTTTTAATGCAAACAATGACATGTCGTTTTTTGCAATTTTTTTCCATTTATTTCTACAATATTGCACATACATCCCAGTACTTTATAATCACATACATTCTAGAAAATTTCCTTAACAAACTTCAGAAAGATTTATCGAAATCCGAATAATTGTTTAGGAGGAGTATACAGTTAGTGCTTGTAATTTAATAAGAACTTTATATAATAGCAATAAAGCTCAAATTGATTCTACGTTTTAGTTAGAAAACGTTTATATGAGATGGCTGTTTTTAGGGTTTTTCTGGCAAGTATTCGATCTTTTCTCGCCGTAAGAACCATCCTTGCTTGGACTTCAACGAACATTTTAAAAAAGAATTGGCTAAATCGGTCCAGGAATTTGTTGAGTTATGCGCTTACCAACACATTTTGCGATTCATTTTTATATATAAGATAATAAAATTATAAATTGTGTAAACAAGATAATAAAATTATAAATTGTGTCTATTTCTATGACTATTACCTTTTTTAGTTCCTCGAAGAAAAATTGGCAGTTTTGACCAAAGAGTTTGATGAAGCGATGGGTGAAAAAATGAAATGTCAAGCCGAAGCTGATGCAACAGCATTTACTATCGATTTGGCCAACAGACTTGTTGGAGGTTTGGCTTCGGAAAATGTCAGATGGAGACAATCTGTCGAAGAGTAAGTGTTAATGGACAATTTATGGAAATACCAATTTTGATTGATTGGTTCTGTTTTTGTTTAGTTTGAAGATGATGAATATAACAATCCCGGGTGATATTTTGCTGGTCAGTTGCTTTATATCGTACGTGGGATGCTTCACTCGTCGATATCGTGTCGATTTACAGGATAAGTTTTGGATTCCTTATTTTGAAAAAATACAGGTAGGGTAAATAAAAAATAATATGCGAGGATTCAAGTAATTCAAATCGGTTTTAAGCTCAGCAAATTAATACATTCAGAGTCTTTTTTCCTCAGCCAAAAATTCCTCGAACCGGCGGCCTGGACCCTCTGGGTTTATTGACAGACGATGCCCAGATCGCGTCCTGGTGCAACGAAGGATTACCCAGCGATCGGATGAGCGCTGAAAACGCAACTATACTCACAAATTCTGCCAGATGGCCTCTCATGATCGATCCTCAGTTGTAAGTAAAAATAGGACACTAACATTATTAACTTCCCGAAGGAAAAGTTTGTTTTCATCAAAAAATCCGATTCGCTAACTTTATGTTTTCTCGACTTTTCAAGCCATTCTGAATCGAATGAGACCAAATTTAAGGAAAAAGTATGTGTGTGTGTATGTCAACAATTTTTTGCCGTAAATCGACGTTTTCTCTCTAAAACGGCTGGACCGATTTCAAAAATTTAAAAGCCATTTGATATATCTCGATGAGGACTAGGGTTTGTTGATCCTTGATGACCCTAGATCATTTGTGCGACAATTGGCCGGGCCGTTTCTTTGTAAATCGCAGAAAAGTAAAAATTTTTTCGTCCACGTTTTAGCCCGCAATTCTGAATCGATTCTGAAAATTCAAAAACCCGGTTGGGAATCGTGCTGATTAGTTTTGGGTAAAGATCGGCTGGGCCGTTTTCTTGTAATAAAGTTTAAAAAAAAATTTCGACGATTTTTATGATTTTTTTTTGACGGTAGATATCATAGTCTTCTAGATCATTCTAAAATATTACCGCCCTACGACAACTAGTTTAGCTTTAAAAATTCGTCAAAGTTTGCAAAAATTGGTATCGTTTTTTTGGCATTTGTCAAAATTAGACTTTTCATCGACCTTTGCTCAAAAACGCCTGAACCGATTTCAGATATTTAAAAAGCATTTGATGTATATCGATGAGGATTATCGTTTCTTAGTTTTGTGCGACGATCGGCCGATCCGTTGCTTTGTACTTTGAAAGATAGTGTTGAACTTTTCGTCCACATTCAAGCTCATACTACCGAATCGATTTCAAAAATTCAAAAACTCTTTGAAAGATATTAGTTGGGAATGATACTGATTAGTTTTAGGTGAAAATCTACCGAACCGTTTTCTTGTAATTATCTGTTGAAAAAAAAATTTAAGCCGATTTTTATGGAACTTTTTTTGCGATATATATCATAGAACTTACTGAAATATTACGGCCTTACGACAAGTAGTTTAATTTTGAAAAATCATCAAAATTTGAGAAAATAAGTAGTTCTTTCGATATTTGTTAAAATTAAAATTAGATGAATTACTTGGTATAACGTTAGAGTACTTGGTATTAATAAACCATTAAAGTCCTACGAAAACTGGTTCAAATATAAAAATCGAAAATTTGCTTTAAGAAAATACTCTGAGTCAAAGTGTTTGTTCGTTTTCAATTATGTGTAATAAATCTACTCGGAATACTTCTAATCACTCATAAATTAATTTGTTTATTATTGATTAAGTCGATTATTTACAGATATCGAGAAGTTCATGTAACTTGCCTCAAGGCTAAATACCAATACCAACTAGTTTAAATTTCCAGCAGTTTTCCTTAAAATCATTTTGTAATTTAAGGCAAGGTTTGAAGTGGATAAAAACAAAGTACGGTGCTGATTTGAAGATCATCCGTTTGTCGATGAAGAACTACCTTGATATTTTGGAACGGGCTATCAATAATGGGGATACTGTTCTTCTCGAAAATATTTTTGAGGTAAAAAATAAATAGATACTATACCACTTTACCATATACCACTTGTTTTTATTATATATACTAGATGACCCGACAGACGTTGCCCTGTACCCATGTCTACAATTTCTTAATATAATATACTAATATTTACCTTTTACCTAAAAATAATAATTATTGTTTTTTTAATTACTCTTTACGCCAAAATGCATGCACATTTATAATATGAGCGATGTTAAATGTAGAATTGCGCCTTCATGTTGGTTTAAATTAATTTAATATTTTATTATTTGAGATATCCAAAATTGCATCTTAAACTTCTCCTAATCGATATCGTGAGGGCCAAATTGTATGTATTCATATTTACTTTCCCATTTGTTGTTATAAAGTGAAGTTTTTACGAATTTTAAAAATATTATGGAAAGATTAGTAAAAGATGCAAAGAAATTATATATTGAAAAAAAACTATATTGAAAATTTAATATCCGAATCTTGTGTTGGCGCCCCCTAAGGCGTGCGCTAGTATTTTTCGCATGCGTCGCATTAAAGGTAGGACCGGCCCTGATTAATACTTAATTTCATATTTTAAGTGAATTAATTTGTCATATCCTGTTCATATGTGTATCATTCAATCTGCCATATATCTTAAAATATTTATTTTCTGGCACATCTCAGCTGCTTTTTGGCAATAATAATATAGACATTACATTTTTATTATTCATAATTATAAATTTATTTCACATATTCTAATATTGTCTAGGTTCATAAGTAAATTGAAATTTTTGGCAGATGGTAGTTTTCATTTGTTTTAAATGCAAACAATGACATGTCGTTTTTTACTATTTTTTCCATTTATTTCTACAATATTGCGCATACATCACAGTACTTTACAATCACATGCAGTCTAGAAAATTTCCTTAACAAACTTCAGAAAGATTTATCAAAATCCGAATAATAGTTTAGAAGGTGTATACAGTGAGTGCTTGTAATTTAATATGAACTTTATATAATAGCAATAAAGGTCAAATTGATTCTACGCTTTAGTTAGAAAACGTTTGTATGTGAAAAAGAAAAGGGCTGTTTTTAGGGTTTTTCCTGCAATTATTCGATTTTTTTCGCCGTAAGAACCATCCTTGAACTTCGACGAACATTTAAAAAAAAAGAATTGGCCAAATTGGTCCAGGCGTTGTTGAGTTATGCGCTTACCAACACATTTTGCGATTCATTTTTATATATAAGTTATATAATAATTTTTATGATATCTATTTTTCTTTTACAGACGGTGGACGCCGTCCTAAATCCACTCCTGGGCAGAATGCTGGTGAAGAAGGGACGTTGTGTTAAAATCGGTGACAAAGAAGTCGATTTCAATAAAAATTTCAGGCTGATCATGCAGACCAAGTTGGCAAATCCTCATTATAAACCTGAGATGCAGGCACAGGCCACTCTTATCAACTTTACTGTCACCAGAGACGGGTGAGATAATTCAAAGAAACAATTATTCATAGATAATCTTATATATAAAAACTCAACAACGCCTTGACCAATTTGGTCAATTTTTTTTTAATGTTTGTTGAAGTTCAAGGATGGTTCTTACGGCGAGAAAAAATCGAATTATTGCCGGGAAAACCCCAAAAACAGCCCTTTTCTTTTTCTCATATAAACGTTTTCTAAAACTAAAACATAGAATCAATTTGAGCTTTATTGCTATTATATAAAGTTCATATTAAATTACAAGCACTCACTGTTTACTTCTACTAAACGATTATATGGATTTTGATAAATCTTTCTGAAGTTTGTTAAGAAAATTTTCTAGGATGTATGTGATCATAAAGTACTGGGACGTATGTTTAATATTGTAGAAATAAATGAAAAGAAATTCAAAAAACGACATGTCATTGTTTGCATCGGGAACGAATGAAAACTATCATTTGCCAAAAATTTCAATTTACTTATGAACCTAGACAATATTAGAATTTGTATCAGTGGCGGATCCAGCTTTGACGCCAGGGGGGGCCTCATAATTAAATTATGTATAGAACATATATTCGCAATACGATCAGAAAATCCTTAAATTTTAGGAGCCTTTGACTTCGTAACAAAATACATAAATAAAATCTTTATGAAGTAAATTTATTGCAGATTTAGTGTTTTATCTAAGTCTTAAGACAGGCTCAGGGGAGGTCATGACCCCCCTGACCCACCCTCTGGATCCGCCACTGATTTGTATAATAAATTTATGATTATGACTAAGAAAAATGAAATGCCTACATTATTGTTGACGAAAAGCAGCTGAGATGTGCCAGAAATTAAAATAATATAAAATACAGTATATGTATGGCAGATTGAATGATACACATATGAACAGGATATGACAAATTAATTTACTTAAAAAATGAATTTAAGTATTAATCAGGGTCGGCCCTACCTTTAATGCGATGCGTGCGAGAAATACAAGCGCACGCCTTAGGGGGCGCCAACACAAGATTCGGATATTAAATTTTCAATATAGTTTTTTTTTTCAATGTACAATTTCTTTGCATCTTTTACTAATCTTTGCACAATATTTTTAGAATATTTTAAAAATTTTATTTTAAAGACTTCAATTTCCAATATAGTGCGGAAATTGAGACTCATCATTTTATTTAAAGCAGTTCTACATTTAACATCGCTCATATTATAAATGTATATGCATTTTGGCGTGAAGAGTAATTTGAAAAACAATATATATTATTTTTAGATAAACGGTAAATATTAGCATATTATATTAAAAAATTGTAGATATGGGTACAGGACAACGTCTGTCGGGTCAGTATATAAATAAATTTGTATCTATTTCTTCTAGGTTGGAAGAGCAGCTTCTGGCCGAAGTCGTGAAGGCCGAACGTCCTGATCTGGAGGCCCTAAAATCTGATCTGACGACCCAGCAGAATTTGTTCAAGATTACATTGAAATTCTTAGAAGACGATCTATTATCTCGTCTTTCCAGCGCCGGTGCCAATGTCTTAGAAGATAGTGCTCTGGTCATTAATTTGGAAACAACAAAGAAAACCGCTGAAGAAATCGTCATCAAGGTCGAGGAGGCGAAAATTACATCGGCTAAGATTGATGAGGCTAGGGAACAGTACAGGTGAATAAATAATACATACATCAATCAAATGAAGATGATCTATTTTCTATATGTTATTAATTTTATAGACCAGCTGCTTGTCGTGCATCCATCCTTTACTTCATTCTGAATGAGTTGTACAAAATCAACATGATGTATCAGTTTTCTTTGAAAGCATTCAGGTTTGTTTTATTTATTTATTAAATTCCCGAAGGAAAAGTTTGTTTTTATAAAAAAATCCGATTCGCTAATTTTATGTTTTCTCGACGTTTCAAACCATTCTGAATGGAATGAGACCAAATTTGGAAAAAGTATGTGTGTGTGTGTATGCGTGTGTGTGAACAGATTTTTTGCTGTAAATCGACGTTTTCTCAAAAACGAATTCAAAAATTTAAAAGCCATTAGATGTATCTCGATGAGGACTATTGTTTGTCATTTTGTGCGACGATCTTTATAAATAGCAGAAAAGTGAAAAATTTTTCGTCCACGTTTTAGCCCGCAATTTTGAAAATTCAAAAACCGTTCGAAAGATATTGGTTGGGAATCGTGCTGATTAGTTTTTGGTAAAGATCGGCCGGGTTTTCTTGTAATAAAGATTTAAAAAAAAAAATTTCACATTTTTTATGATTTTTTTTTTGACGGTAGATATCATAGTCTTCTAGATCATACTAAAATATTACCGCCCTACAACGACTCGTTTAGCTTTAAAAATTTGTCAAAGTTTGCAAAAATTGCTATCGTTTTTATGGCATTTGTCAAAATTAGACCTTTCATCGAAGTTTGCTCAAAAACGCCTGAACCGATTTCATAAATTTAAAAGCCATTCGATGTATCTCAATGAGCACTATAGTTTGTCAGTTTGGTGAGACGATCTGCCGAGCCGTTTCTTTGCAATTTGAAAAAGAGTGTTAAACCTTTCGTCCACATTTAAGCTCATACTACCGAACCGATTTTAAAAAATCAAAAACTGTTCGAAAGATATTAGTTGAGAATGATACTGATTAGTTTTAGGTGAAAATCTACCGAGCCGTTTTCTTGTAATTAACTATTGAAAAAAAAATTAAGCCGATTTTTATAGAATTTTTTTTAGCGATATATATCATGGTCTTATAGAACTTACTGAATTATTACGGCCTTACAACAAGTAGTTTAATTTTAAAAAGTCATCAAAATTTGAGAAAATGAGCAGTTTTTTTGACGTTAGCTAAAATTAAAATTAGTTAAAAAGCAATAATAAGCCAGAAAGATCCCTTTGATTTTTATCTATATGCTTCTAACGTATCTTTTATTCTTTTTGAGATATAATGAAAATATAAAACAATATATATTTTTCCTAGAATACTTTATGTGATACCGATTTATTCAGATTTTCATTGACATAATTTTGTTTATTACATGATTTTCGTTAAAATATATATTTTAGGAGATATTTGCAAAAAAACGAAGAAAAACGCCAAAAATATATGAATCTTTAGTGGCCAGTAACTTGAAAAGTATTAGTTTTTTTGAAAAACTATAAAAGACATTTTTTCTTATAATTAGTTCTTCTATCGATTTCCGACGTTATTTTGAAAAAATGTAATTACACAATTGAGAAGGGGTGTCATGTTATGGCGCAACCCGAATTGTTTTCACTTTTGAACTTGAGTGTAAGATGAACCTAATTCCAAAATTTCATTCAATTCGGAGCACAGTAAAAAAAATCAGAGGTTATACCCTTTTTTCTTCTCCGTTTACTGCACTAATAATAATTGTTGATTTTTGAAAATACTCCGAGTAAACGTGTTCATTCGTTTTCAATTATCTGTAATAAATCCACTCATAAATTAATTAATTTTTTATTGATTAAGTCAATTATTTACACATATCGGGAAGTTTATGTAACTTGCCTCAAGGCAAAATACCAATACCAACTAGTTTATTAAATATTTTCACTAGCAAATATTTGTAATATTTTTTTACCACAGTGTCGTGTTTCTGAGGGCTATCGCCAAAACACCACCAGCAGAGACTTTGGAGGAGAAAGTGGAAAATCTTTTGGAGTCCATCACCCATGCTGTGTACATGTACACAACCCGAGGACTTTTTGAACGTGATAAATTGACTTTTATGGCACAGGTCGTGATACAGGTAATAAAAATTGAAGCCATACTTTTATATTTGTTTTATTTATCAAGCCCTGCACATAGCTTGATCTATGAATCATTTTCTTTTTTATGTGAACGTTAATGCAATGATCATCATCAATATTACGAGGTAATAAATTAACCATATTATTAATGTCAACAGGCACATTTATAATTTGGCCAAACATTCCAAATTGTCCATTTGCATGTCGCAATCGTCTAATTTGCATGAAACACAACCTAGGTGAAATTAATCTTTCAAATACAGTATCTAGTTTAGGTAGATAATTTGGTATAGGTGGAAAAACAAACCCGTTAAATTTACACAATAGTGGGAATTTTACCCGAATTTATTGTCTTTCGACAAGTTTAACATCCAACTTGATTATTTGAATTAATATTCAGAAAACCATTATTAAGAATTTGTTTTTGAGCATCATTTGATATTTCTAAGTCACTTTGAAACCAAAGTCGATCACGCACAAAACATACATAGCCAAAGCTATCATTTGTAAATTGTTTTTCAAACAATTTTCGTGCATTCCTAAACAAATTGAAGGGTTTATATGGAAGTTCAAATACTTCATTTGACTCTTGCAAAAGATCTTGTCACATTATTAGTCACAATATATGCAGAATCATTAATTTGCAAATGACGTGATGTAGTTGCTGTATCAGAAAAAGTTACAGCAGTACTTTCATCTAAAAAGATAAGAGAATAATATGTTTAAATGTGAATAGTTGAAATGTTTTTCAGGAGTAAAATAGCGAAAAAAGATTTTTACTTATGTCAATGGTGTTGACATTAACATCTAAATTGATACCTGACTTAAGATTTTCTAATAAATTGACAGTAACCGATTATTTTCCTGCAGTTGTTTTCTTTGACTATGTAATCTTGATCTTTGTAAGTTTGTAAGAGGCTTTGAACCTACATCAATATTTATAATTACTATTATAGTGAATTAAAATTAGTCTACATAGCCATCATAAAAGAGAAACATGTAAACTTTCTCTAAATTTCCAATCAAGAATTATTGTTTTCACAATTTCACTTATCATGTAATTGTGTTCGTAGAACTTCATGTAATTGAAATTAACATACGTTTATTGACTACTTGTTTGTTTTGACTAGGGTTTGTCGGTTTTCAAAAGCCGGTTTTAAAAACCGGTTTTTTGGCGAAAATTATGGAATTCGAAAACCGTTTTCTTAGTGAAAAAAGTTGGTTTTCACTTTATAAATGGAAAATGACAAATATAGCCAAATATAAAAGATAGTTGAAAGCGTTTTGATTCTTGAAATCATATCGTTTCAATATCATTTGATATCTTATCAGTCTGCAATGGTTTCCAGTAAGGTTTTGTATATAATAATTTAGATTTTTATACCAGTGTATATATTAATTTAAATCAGTGTGACTTCTTCTTGAAGAAGTAACTTTCTCTACTCAAACTCAAAAAAAGAGTTTTAATCCCTAGAAGCCACAAATTAAAGAACAAAAAACTTAGAATTATTATATCAGGCTTTAGAAACAACAACAAAGTATGAGAGTATTTTCTATTTCAGGAAATTTTGTGAGTAAACAAAGGACACGTCTAAGTAGCAATTCGATAGACATTCTCAATTTTTTTTAAATCATATTTTATTAAACAAAAAACAATTAGAATGTTTAAAATTAATTAATTAAAATTACTCGGAACAGAAATATAAGCTTAGCTTAATTGTTTTTAAAACTAAAATTGATATTAACAAGTATGTATCAACATGTATCAAACATTTTTTTATTTTTTTTATTTAATGAATTTTTTTATTTAAAAATGTATTATTTTTATATATTCGAAAACTTTTCTTTCACTATCATAAAAATATTTTCATTCCTATATGTGAAAATGATGCATGAATAACGAATAATTATTTTCAAAGTATTTTTAATCAAGATGAACTATTATTTTTTAGTTCTACTAATTAAAATTAAAATAATTTTGTTTACTATCTATAAAATTGAACAATAAATAAATTAAGTCAAATACTATTCTAAATTACACTAAATTTGCGGATAAATTACAGAATATTCGAGCAAAAATTTATTTTCTATATAAAATTCGAAAACCGGTTAAAACCGGTTTTTTAGTAAAATTAAATTTCGAAAGCCGGTTTTCTGAAATGTCGGTTTTTGTAAAACCCTAGTTTTGACTATTTCGCTGGCGATACAGTTTCATTCTTTGAGCAACTGTAGTATATCTGTCTTGCCTATAAAAATATTTTCCGTTTTAGTAATAATCTCAAAGGTATAAAGTAACCTCGAAAATTTCGAATAATACAAATTTCTTCAATAAACTTACGTTTCTTACGCAGCGCAGATTTTTCATTTGTTTCATTATTTGCACTACAATTATTTATGGGGGACGGGATAAAATATTCTTTCGATCCAGACATTTTTTATACTATTATTTAATACTGACGACTTATACTATTATTTAACTTTAAAATGTTTTAACATAAAATCGGAAGATGAACAATATGCTTCACGCTTTCGGTGACGTACGCTCGTATAAAGTCACGCATCAGAATCGTCCCGTATAGAAATGATCTCATCGAGAGCGAATGACTCTCACTTGACCTTGCCGTAACAATTTCCGTTGCAAGAAGTTTTACTTCAATAAATAAAATATAACTGGTGACAAGAACTGAAAATGCAAATGAATTCTGTTTTTTTCCTATAGATTGAATTGAATGCCAAGACGATCGAACCAGCAGAACTGGATTTTTTGCTCAGATTTCCAGCAGTTGCAACCGAGAGTGTACCTGTAGACTTTTTATCGAATTTACTTTGGGGAGGTGTTAAATTGTTATCGAACATGACAGAGTTTGCAAATTTGGACAAAGACATCGAGGGAGCTGCAAAGAGGTGATCTACAGACAACCTTAATATCATATTTTGAAACAGCAAAAATTTCAATTATTTTTTGCAGTAAATAAGCTCTATTCTATTTTTTATTATTTTTTTTTAATTATTAATTTTATTTTCAGGTGGAAGAAGTTTGTGGAAAGCGAGGCACCAGAAAAGGAAAAATTGCCGCAGGAATGGAAAAACAAACAGCCCCTACAAAGACTCTGCATTATGAGGACTTTAAGACCTGACAGGATGTGCTATGCTACATCGTAAGGAAACTCTTATTATTACTAAAAAAACAATTATAACTAGTGGTGTATGGCATTGTGCCTTAAGTCAAATTGCTGGAATTTTCCATATCGTAATGAAATATTAGGTTGTCAAATATCTCCCTTCCGCCTTTTTGTATTATAAACCAATAGCAAAAAAGCGGAAGGGAGATATTTGACAACCTAATATTCGAGGAATATTAAATGTTTTCAAACAGATTATTATAACCTGTAACTTATACATGTTTACAGAGAAGTGAATGAACAAAACTTATGGGGCAATTCTGCTGTAACAGAGCTCATAAAATAGCGTTGTCATGGCAACGCTATCTTATGCTTGTTCTTAGTAGTAACTGTGTGAAAATGTCTATTTGCAGTTTGATCAGGCATATTTTACATATAAACAAGCAAGGAAGAATCTTATGATAACAGAATAGTAGATGGTGCAATAATTACAACATTTAAAGCATACATCAGTATTAACTTGATGTATGCTTTATATGAACATTTTGAAAATGCATTGAAATTTTATTTAAAAATTACTTATGCACTGCTTATAGGATATATAAATTTTGTATCTTATTATTATTTGTAGTGGCTACATTGAGGAACGTCTTGGTCCAAAGTTTGTAGACGCTCGAACCTTGGACTTTCCAACATCGTATGAAGAAATGAGCAACATCACACCCATGTTTTTTATATTGTCACCTGGATCTAATCCCTTAAAGGCAAATAACTTTATACATACATATATATACACCTAAGTCTGTTTTTACATGGTAGATTGGTTCCAGAAGAAGCCGTGTAAAAAAAAAACGTGTAAAAAAAGACATTGATCTTATACAAAAATGGGTGATTTGTTCCTAATCTCTAAAACCTATTAAAATTAGTAAAAAACAAGAATTTTTAAGAACAAGAATTAAATTAGTGCTATTCACATTTGCTTTGACCAGTAAAAATTGTTTGTACGCGCTAAAGGGGAATTCACTTAAATCTTTAAGCTAGTGTTCGCAAACTATCGATACTATCGATGGTTTCAGACTTTTTTCTTTCATAAATACTTTTTTGTGATATGAACATACTTCGCAAAAATTAAATTTGACAAAAAAATTTAAGTACATAAAATTTCAAATCGTGCTAAATGGAATAAAATCGTGTAAAAAAATTAAAAATATTCAATTTTCAAACCGTGTACAAAAAGACCGTGTAAAAACAGATTTAGGTGTATATATATATATATATATATATATATATATATATATATACATATGTATTCGATGCTAATAAATTGATTTATTATAATCCCTCTTCTCCTCAGGATGTTGAAAGTCATGGCAAAAAGCTGAAATTCATGACCGATTTACAAAATTTCCACGTTGTATCGTTGGGCCAGGGCCAGGAGGTAGTGGCAGAAAGTGCCATCGAAATTGGTGCCAAATTTGGACAGTGGGTTATGTTGCAGAATGTGCATTTGGTTGCCAAGTGGTTGCCAACGCTGGAGAAGAAGATGGAGCAGACGTTTGAGAAGAGCCACGAGAATTATAGGTAAATGGAAAAAAATGTTTAATTGTGTGACTAACAGAATGAATAACAGTTTTTACTTCCTAATCGAGATTTTCTTTATTTATGAAATACATATTATTTTTGCTGACTATATTTTTTAATCAGGTTATACATCAGCGCAGAACCAGCTATGAGTGCTGAATACCACATACTTCCTCAAGGTGTACTAGAGTCATCGATAAAGGTTCTTTTTTTCTCATTCTAATTCCATAAATGGTTATACTTCATTAAAAATACTCTATTATTGATGTATCGTTATAAAACAACTGGCAACATTAGACCATTCCTGTACAATTAATGATTAAAATATATAAACTGATGGAATTGTCTATTGCATATTGTTCAATGTGCAAGGCTTTTTTATTTGAATTCGCAAATATATATTCAAAATGTATGTAATTTAGTTGTCATTACCCTTGTAGGTGACCAACGAAGCCCCCACAGGCATGTTTGCAAATTTGCACAAGGCCCTGGACAATTTCAACCAGGAGACTTTGGAGATGTGCAGCAAAGAGGCCGAATTCAAGGCGATTTTATTTGCATTATGCTATTTCCATGCAGTCGTCTGCGAACGAGGAAAATTTGGAGCACAAGGATGGAACAGGTTAGATAAGAAAAATAAATAATTGTCCAAACTTGAATGTTTTTAATTCCAAATTTTTGTTTTAGAAATTACCCTTTCAATGTTGGAGATTTGACGATCAGTGTGTATGTGTTGTATAATTATTTAGAAAATAATGCCAAAGTGCCATGGGAAGATCTACGATATTTATTCGGTAAGTAATAGAAAAGTAAGTAGGTATTGGAAACTATAAAAGACAATCTGAACAGATTACAACTATATATATTAATAAAATAAAAATAAAAAAGAGTACGCCTAAGGTTCACATGCGATTGAAGTAAAACTTATTTGCTACTGTACAAGATGGCATTTAAGTAAAAATAAATACATCATATAACAATTTTGAATAATGTTTATTAGTAATATGGTAACACTCGTGATGCACACATTTATTAGTGTCGTCAATCATGATACACATTTATATAATGATAAATTATAAACTATATATTTATAATGGCATTAAAAATATGTATAATATTTGTAATATGTAATTAAAGACATACTTGAAATATGACGTAATTGCTGATTAATAACTTCTATAGTATTCGTTTACACAGTGAATTGTGTTAAACAACGCCCAAACAAATATTATTTTTGCAACTTCACTCATTATGTAATAATTGTGTTTGAAGAACTTCACGTAATTAAAATTAACATACATCCATTGACTGCTTGTATTTTTTTACTTTTTTGCAGTCTCATTCTTTGAACAGCTGTAATATCTGTCTTGCCTAAAAAATATTTTTTATTTTAATAACTTCAAAGATTTATAGAAGCTACGAATAATATAGAAATAATTTCTAATCAATAAACTTACGTTTTGTACACGGCACAAGTGTTTAATTTGTTTTATTATTTTCAAGGAACAGGATAAAATATTCTTGCGATTCAGGCATTTTTCATTAGATCAAGATTTGTACTGCGATTTAACTTTAAAATGTTTACTTATCTATGCCGATTTCCTTGTTGATATCGGTACGCATACAACGTTGATGCCGTTACGCCCACAACCACAATTTCACATACACGACTACTAATCACAATCGACCCGTATTGAAATGATTTCATCGAGAGCGAATGACCTACAGTTCGGCCGTAACGCATTTCCGTTGCATTTGTACGGATTTACACCCTAGTCGCGCCTAAAGAACTTTTACTTCAAAAAAATTAATAACAAAATAATCAAAAATATACTAAACAACCAAAAATTGATTGTTTTTTGCGAGAAATTTTTGCGTTTCTTGACGTTTTGAAGGTTTGTGAACATTTTGACATACCTCAGAAAAAATGGATGTGTGTGTGTGTATGTGTGTGTTTTATGTCTGCATTTTTCATCCACGTTTTCGGGCGCACGGATCAACCGATTCGAATGATTCAGAAAACATTCGGTTCCTATTGATAGGGAGATATGCTGATTAGTTTTTGGCAAAGGCAAGTCCAGTTGTTACGGAGATACGGAGCAAAGAGTGCAGAAAATACAAATCGAGTTTTTGAGAGATCGGAGTATCCATTTTGAATGATCTAAAAAACATTCAATTTGTAATGATTGGGAGAAGAGGTGATTAGTTTTTGGCAAAGACAGGTCCCATCATTTCGAAGATACAGAGCTAAATGTGCAAAAAGACAGTTTTTGAGTGAACTAAGCGTCCGATTTGAATGATCTAAATACTTTCTGCTTGTATTGACAAAAACAATTGCTTTTGAGGATAAAAAATTATTACATCTTTTTTTATTTTCCTTGAAATATTTTTGTAATTTTGGATTAAAAATTGTAAAAAATTACCCAGGCTAAGCACAGTATAAGTGAAAATGTCGCACATAATTATTTGCAAATGCGTTTAGACTGTGATTATACCGGAGCACTTTTTCAATTTTGTGTGAATTAGGCAACTATTTTTTTTTGAAATTGAATTCGAAATGAAATGACGATTGCTCTTATTTTAGAGATGAATTGATTTGTGATTTATGATTTATGATTTACATTCGATTTGCTCAGATATAACAAGATAGCAACAATAATGAAAGTTACAGTATTTGTAATAATATATTTGTAAACGTTTAAAATTTCTCGAATATTTCATTACGGTACGGGAAGTTGCCTTATGGCACGATGCCATACACCACTAGTTATAAATTTTATTTCTATTATCCCAGGTGAAATAATGTACGGTGGACACATCACTGATGACTGGGACAGACGTCTGGCTCGAACCTACCTTTTAGAATTCATGCAGCCCGAATTGACTGAAGGCGAACTGAATTTTGCTGTTGGGTTCCGTGCACCACCCAACACCGATTACAAGTAAATTATTTAATTCTGTATTATCAAAGTGCCAAATTTTTTATGCATTTTTTTTTCTTCTGCAGAGGTTACCACGAGTACATTGATGATGCCCTTCCGCCTGAATCACCATATTTGTATGGTCTGCATCCGAATGCAGAAATTGGATTCTTGAGCACGAAATCTGAGAAAATGTTCAAGACTATATTTGAATTGCAGCCGAGAGATTCTGGAGGCGGTGAGGCTGGTGGAGTATCCAAAGAGGAGAAGGTAATTAAATCATGCGATACTTTAGTATTAATAATTAGTATCAACTAGGGAATGCAATACCGATGGAAAATTTCAATACCGGTATTTCGGTAATTTTTCATTTTAAAACCGGAATACCGGTGAATTACCGGCATTTTTATTATCTTAAACAAACGTAAACAAAATTGAAAGTTACTAGTACAAATATAAAAAAAATGTATAAACAACTACAACCATATTCAACTAAACAATAAAAACTATAAAATAAACTAATAAGTTTATTTTTTTGAATAATAATTTAACAAAAATATATGCAATTTAATTAATTCATTATCACTATCGAGTATATTGAGTACTTTTCACCAAAAACAAACTTATGAGTAAGAAGGACCAAAAACTCATAAAAGATCATATGTACCCACAATTATGAAAGTGGTCTAAGTCATATATTTCTTGTTTCGAGATATTTAATGATTTGCATTTGAATAAATTAAAAAATATTTTTACATTATGCGACATTTTAATTTTTAATTTTATTAGTCTTAACTAATGGAAATTTATTATGAATATAAAATTTTGTGTGAATTTCATACGATAATATTGTTTTTGAAGGTCGGATTGACTTAGACTATTTTCAAAATTAACTGAATGTCCTATAAATGACTTAAAGCAATAAAGAACTTTGAGTTTTATTTGAAACAATAATTTTATTGAAATAATTCGTGAGCATTTATTAATTATTTTTAAACGGTAATCCATTTTTATCATTATTTCGAGTATTTAAGATTCTTAAAATGTTCCTGAAAAACTGGAGGGATGTACGGTGGTAAACTCATAATATCTTTGTTTTTCTTCTGATACTGGTCTAATGCTGGTGTATAATGGAAGTAATTTAATATTTCCGTATATTTTTTGGTCTTTCTCTTTCAGGTGAAAGATCCAAAACGTGAAATGTAGAATCATCTAAAAAAGTTTTATAAAACATAAAAATTTTATAAGGTTCATTTTTCAAGAATCTCATCCATTGAATTTGTAGCCAAGAGACAGATTCGCCCGCGGTATTTTTTACTATTCTTGTTATTGTATCTTCTAATGATTTCGTTGAAATAAAATCCGGCTGCGACATTCGCTTTATCGAAAATGTATTATTGCTTCTTCTGCACTTTTCTATCAATTCATAATATTGCTCAGGGTTGTATACTTGTATAAGTATTTTGATTTTTTTATTTTCATTTCTATCGACCCAAAATCACGATCATTCAGTAGAAAGGAATGACCTGACACCAAAAATTTTTGACTTTGACCACTTTCATAATTAACACTAAATGAATTCCATATAATGTTGAAATTACAACCACTACCTAATGGTTCATTTTTGACAATTTCGTAAAAATTACATTGAATACGTTTAGTTTAAACTAATGTGGTGTGAAATAACTGATAAACTCATTTTTTTTAAAATTTGACATAGACCACTTTCATAATTATGGGCACTTATTACATTATTATAATAAATTGTATTGTCTATATCCGATTTGTTAAATTAGCATAATCTCCAATATTTTAAAAAAATAATTTTTCTACACTAATTTAAGATCGGATACTTTCTCGAGATAAATAATAAGTTACTATAATTGTTGAGTATTGTTATTCAAAATAATGTGATGCTTCTATAGTATTTTCAAACTTTGTAATAATAATATAGTATTTTATAATTGTAATAAGAAACAAAAATATTTAGTGATTATCATAATTATTATGTATAAAGTTAGAAAAAAATAAATATTACGCAGGGGTAATCTGTATGATATAAAATATTTGGGCGCAAATATCACTTAAAAAACCGTTACATTTTTACATAAGATGAAACAAACATCATTATCTATCAGTCCAATTCTATTTATTGTAACACGATATGAAGCCCTTTGGAAAGCAATAAATATTCAGTTTGAGATAATATTTGACATTTGTTTTTCTTATAGAATCACTTGAAGATATAGCTGTTTATGCGATTAAGGAATTTAAAGACAAATCTGTTCCGAGAAATTTAAACTTTAGCGTATTATGTATCAAATAGCGCTTATGTAAAAATACCGAAAATACCGGTATTTTTGGAATAAATACCGGTAAAAATATCGCCGAAAAATCGGGCGGTTTACCGGTAATTCGGTATACCGGTATACCGGTATTGCATTCCCTAGTATCAACTATTTCTTTCCTTTAGGTGAAGACTGTGATAGAAGACATTATGGACAAGATACCAGACGAATTCAATATTCAGGAACTGATGAGCAAAGCCGAAGATTTGACGCCTTATGTTATTGTAGCTTTCCAGGAATGTGAACGAATGAACATACTGATGGGAGAAATCAGACGCAGTCTTGTGGAACTGGAATTGGGTTTGAAGGGCGAGTTGACTATAACTAAAGACATGGAGGATTTGATGGAATGTCTGTCCTTTGACGAGGTTCCTGCCAGTTGGACAAAACGAGCATATCCGAGTATGCTCATGTTGGGAGGATGGTTTGCAGATTTGCTACTCAGGCTAAAAGAACTAGAGGTAAAATGATAATGGTCAATATTATAATAGAATCATTTTACTTAATTCTTCACTTATTCTTTTTTTTAAGAGTTATCTTCATAATCGTAAACAGTTTGTCTATCTTAATGGACTCTTGAGCAATATTGAAAATATCAGTTCAGGTGTTCCTCAGGGATCCATTCTTGGTCCACTACTATTTATTATTTTTATTAATGACATATATGACATTATTAGCTGTCCACATTTATTATTTGACAAAATTGATCATAACATTCTTCTTACTAAATTGCCTATGATTGATCTTAATTCTTCACTTATTTATTTTTATAAGAGTTATCTTCATAATCGTAAACAGTTTGTCTATCTTAAAGGATTCTTGAGCAACATTGAAAATATCAGTTCTGGTGTTCCTCAGGGATCCATTCTTGGGCCACTACTATTTATTATTTTTATTAATGACATATATGAAATATTAGCTATCCAAATTTATGATTTGCAGATGATCTCAAACTATATCTCAAAATAAATTCTATTGATGACTGCTTATTATTACAGTCTCAACTTGACTCTTTCCACTCTTGGTGTGTCTATAACAAATTACATTTGAATATATCAAAGTGCAAGATTCTTAGTTTTTCACATAAGCGCGTTCCAGTACATTTTGATTATAAAATTTCTAACACCAGCCATGGTAGAGGTAATAAAATTCAGATTTAGGAGTTTTGTTTGATTCTGGTTTGTTTTTCACGGATCATTAACTGATATTTGTAATAGAGCGCATAAATCTTTAGGTTTGTTTACTGAGAAATTTTAAACAATTCAATTCTAACAACGCACTTCTTTGCATGTACTATTCTATTGTACTTTCAAAATTAGAATATGGTTCGATTATTTGGTATCCTCATCAAATCAACAACTCTGATGCGATAGAGAAGATTCAGCGAAAATTTCTGATATATCTTTATTACTATACTAGCTGACCCGACAGACGTTGTCCTGTACCCATGCCTACCGTTTAGTTAAAAATAAACATTAATGTTTTTACACTACAATCTATACCAAAATGTATGTACAATAGTATGAGTGTGTACAAAAATGGTCAGTCTCAATTTCTACACTTATACAGTAAAAACCAATCAGCTACATCACAACATATAACATATATCAAACAGAGAAATATCGAAATATGATCATTAACATTGTATATAAATATTTTTACACGACATTTTTTAGAACGAATTTATTTTTAATATATCAATTAACGGGATATACAATATTCTTTGTCAGACCTGTAGGTGCATAAATAATTAAGTTGTTTGTACTTCTAACTCTAGCGTAAGCCATATATAGTTAATAGTATATTAGGCTATGACTAAAACGTTTTACGTTAATTCCGCAAAATAACTGTAAATAACTAACTTATATAGCCGATTGGCGTATAATAATAAATAATAAAATAAGTTAATTGCCTGCCCCTGTGAATTGGAGTTCCATCTAACAATTTATATGTTTTTTAGATAAATATCGAACAGTGTGTCTTATTGCTCAAACTAACCGTATTTTTGCATTTGAACATTGAATATTCACACATATTTCATACTATAGTCATATAGTACATATGAAATGAAAACATTTCGATAAAAGATGCAGAATAAAATTACGAATAAAATGAATATAAATCGTTAAATTATCCTTTAATGTTCCAAGGCTATCTACGCGTTCACAATTATTTTTCAATTATCCTATTCCTAAATCTAATTCTCTCTTAAATTCGCCAATTTACTTATGTCCTCTAACTTCAACTTAATTATTTATATGATTTAGTATAAAACTTAAATATAACTATTAATTTGTTGTTATTTAATTTTACAATCATCATATATATAAATTAATAAATTATATTATAAAAATAATCATGTTACAAAAATTAAAAAAAAAAATTTTTTTTTTCATTCTTACATTTCATAAAATTATATGAAAAAGTTTTTTCGAAAAAAAATATTTGTTTAATAATATATTACATAAAGAAAATGTGATTAATTAGGATTTTGTATACCTTCTTAAGATAATACAATTCATTATTAAATAATCATTTAAAACACTATTGATAATGCAAATCAAATAAATTAATATCATCAACATTTTTATATAATATTTCTGGGATTAGAATTTGTAATATCACTCAAATATATTTCAACCTTCTTAATTTTCATGTTTCAATTAGAATACTAAATACTACAGTAAGTGAATTTTTTACTGTTACATGTAATTAAAGCAAAGGCATATTAATTATGAAAAATATAATCAATTATGGACACATTAATTTTAGGGCATATAACTTGTATTTTTTGTCTTATTAAGTTTCTATATATAAATTTAGTTTGTCATAATTTTTTTTTTATTTTAATATTTAATCGTGAAACGTGTGCTGTTTTGTTATGCCTGTAAAAGTTAAAATATTAATATTTATTAATTGTGATATTTTTAGCCAATTACAAAACAACTAAGAAATGTTAGGTTTATGATGCATATTATCTTATTATTTTTAAATATACGTATTTAAAATTAATAATGAAATAGATATTCACAACACTTCACCTAATCAAATAATCTCCATCTGCACAAGTTAACCTTTTTATTTTCTTTTCAAATATCTCATTATTCTGTTTATAAATAATATGTTACATTCTGCATTATATGTAATTTATGTTAAGCATTTTATGTTATTAACTATATATTGTAATTTTGTATATATGTCAATTGACATTAGTTATGTAAAATAATTGTATTTTTGAGTCTCTTGGAAGAAATCTGTGGGCTATATATTTAAAATAGATAAATAAATAAATAAATATGTGTTTTTCTAAACAGGGTTGGGCTTCTGATCTAAATCTGCCTTCGGCAGTGTGGTTGTCTGGTTTCTTCAATCCACAATCGTTCCTGACAGCAATTATGCAGCAGACGGCCAGGAAGAACGAGTGGCCTTTGGATAAAATGTGTCTGAATTGTGACGTCACTAAAAAACAGAGAGAGGAATTCACGTAAATAAATTTTATACAAACAATGAATCTTGGATTTGATCTTTTATATTTATTAACTTCCCGAAGGAGAAGTTTATGTTTTCATCAAAAATCCGATTCGCTAGTTTTATGTTTTCTCGACGTTTCAAGCCATTCTGAATCGAATGAGACCAAATTTGGAAAAAGTATGTGTGTGTGTATGTGTGTGTGAACAGATTTTTTGCCGTGAATCGACGTTTTTCCCAAACCGATTTCAAAAATTTAATAGCCATTCGATGTATCTCGGCGAGGACTATCGTTTGTCAGTTTGTGGGACGATCGGCCAAGACGTTTCTTTATAAATAGCAGAAAAGTAAAAAAAAATTCGTCTACGTTTTGGCCGGCAATTCTGAACCGATTGAAAATTCAATAACCCTTCGAAAGATATTGATCGGGAATCGTGCTGATGAGTTTTTGGTAAGATCGACCGGGCCGTTTTCTTGTAATAAAGTGTTAAAAAAATTTTTTCGACGATTTTTGTTATTATTTTTTTGACTGTAGATACCATAGTCTTCTAGATCATACTAAAATATTACGGCCCTACGACAACTGGTTTAGCTTTAAAATTTGTCAAAGTTTGCAAAAATTGTATCGTTTTTTTTGGCATTTGTCAAAATTAGACCTTTCATCGACGTTTTCTCAAAAACGCCTCAACCGATTTCAGAAATTTAACAGCCATTTGTTGTATTTCGATGAGGACTATCGTTTATCAGTTTTGTGCGACGATCGGCCGAGCCGTTTTTTTGAAATTTGGAAAAAGTGTTAAACTTTTCGTCTACATTTAAGCTCATCCTACCGAACCGATTTTAAAAAATCAAAAACCGTTCGAAAGATATTAGTTGGGAATAATACTGATCTAAATCTACCAAGCCGTTTTCTTGTAATTAACTGTTGAAAATGAAATTTAAGCCGATTTTTATGGATTTTTTTTTTTAGCGATATATATCATGGTCTTATAGAACTTACTGTTACGGCCTTACGACAAGTAGTTAAATTTTTAAAAATCATCAAAGTTTGCGAAAATGAGTAGTTTTTTTGACTTTTGTTAAAATTAACACTTTCCACTCGGGAGTCGGACTGCTAGTCGGTACGCTGCACTCGGAATATTGTGCTATACATATCTCTCAACTCGGATTTTTTTTTTGTATCGGATTTTTTCAAAATGTGGTAATACTGGTTTTAAATATAGTTATTATGATAATAAAATAAAAAAATTAAAAATAAAAAATGCGCTCAAACCATACTATAATGTTTAAAAAATAATTTCTTCTATTATAATGGCTTACAAAATAATAAATCCTGGTAGACAAGGAAACAAAAATTAAATTTAATATGTTACCAAAATTATTACCATTATAATATATAATATATACATATATATATATATATATATATATATATATATATATATATATATATCATCTCCAGTAAAACTTATATCTCAAAAAATTATGGGGTTCATGAGCTAATAAATTAATTTTGTTACATATTTATTATTAAAATTAATAAATTAATCAATAAATTAATGTAATAGTGAATTAATTTCAAAAGAATTAAAAAAAAATTAAATATTTTAAGTTTGCGACGAGACGATTTGCCGCCGGAGCGGCGGCATCCGAGTCGAAAGGGTTAAAATTAGACGATTGACTCACTTGGTATAACGATAGAGTACTTGGTCTTAATATGAACATACTAAATTATTAAATTCCTACAAAAAACTGGTTCAATTATAAAAATTGGTGATTTTGAAAATTTGCTTTTATAAAATACTCCGAGTTAACGTGTTTGTTCGTTTTCAATCATGTGTAATAAATCCACTCGGAATACTTTTAATTACTCATAAATGAATTTATTTTTATTGATTAAGTCGATTATTTACACATATCGGAAAGTTCATGTAACTTGCCTCAAGGCTAAATACCAAACCAACTAGTTATTTTTTTATTTTAGCTCAGCCCCTCGAGAAGGTGCCTATATCCACGGTTTATACATGGAAGGCGCTCGATGGGACACATCTGTAAACGGCATAGTTGATGCTAAAATGAAAGATTTATTCCCGTTGATGCCAGTGGTTTATGTTAAAGCCATCACTCAAGATAAACAGGTAATATTTAGAAACCCAGTTATAATTTTGATTAAAATTTAATCTATTACCACTGTTTTTTATTAGGAAACCAGAAACGTCTACGAGTGTCCTTTATACAAAACCCGAGAAAGAGGACCCACATACGTCTGGACTTTTAATTTAAAGACGAAAGAGAAGCCTACAAAATGGACAATGGGAGGTGTTGCTTTGCTATTGCAGATATGAAAGTATTCTTGCACGATTGGGATTTATTTTGGAACAGAATTTGTCCTTTGGACTAGGATTCAACACTCATCTTCTTGCAAGTACAGAAATTTTGATATTTTGTAATGCATGGTGTGTTTGTTCTGTTTGTATGATTAACAATGTGAGACTGATCTGTAAAAGATTTTATAATAGACGATGAATGCATGTGTGTATTTTTTATTATTGATGATAGAATTATATTAGAGATATTAATTAGTTATTAACTTCCCGCAAGGGTGAGTTATAGCAATCGCAAAAAAATCTAAAATGAAAATTTTTATATATCCTTACGTTTCAAGGGTTTCTGAATACTTTGGCATACCTTATTGTTAGTGTTTTTTTTTAACTTCCCGTAGGATAAGTTATTGTAATGGGCCTAAAATCGGAATTGAAAATTTTTACATTTCTCGACGTTTTGAAGGTTTCTGAACGTTTTGGCATACTTCAGAAAAAATGGATGTGTGTGTGTATGCCTGTATGTATGTACGGATACAATTTTTCGTCCACGTTTTCGGGTATACGGATCAACCGATTTGAATGGTTCAAAAAACATTCGATTCCTATTGATAAGGAGATGTGCTGATTAGTTTTTGGCAAAGGCAGGTCCAGCAGTTACGGAGATAAAGAGCCGAGTGCAGAAAATAGAAATCGAGTTTTTGAGAGAACGGAGCATCCCATTTGAATGATCTAAAAAATATTCAATTAGTAATGATTGGGAGAAGGGGTTATTAGTTTTTAGCAAAGCAGGCCCAGCCATTTCGAAGATACGCAGCTAAATTTACAAAAAATGGTAGATTTAGAGAGAACTAAGCGTCCGATTTAATTGATTCAAAGAACTTTCTGCTTGTCTTAACAAAATAATTGATTTTGGAAAAAAAAATTGTTTTTTCAACTTTTTTTTTTAATTTTTTGTATATCGAAAATAATTCAGATTTTATTTTCAATTCTGACTATAGTTCTAATATACTTTAAACAAATAATTTCAACTCTGCAATTCAGTTTATATAATTCTTATAAATATTAGACAATGGTACAATATTTATAATAATCTATTTGAAAACATTCAGTATTCCTCGAACATTTTGTTACGGTACGGGAAGTTCCAGCAATTTGCCTTAAGGCACAATGCCACCCACCCCACTAGTTGAATGTTTGATTGGTTTGATTTTTGAAGGACCAATTTGTCATAAAACATTTTAAAAACAACGTTTAATGTTTTAAGTATCATATTGATTGACTTTATTTATTTTATGATGATTTTTTGATTGTTATTTTGTTTTCATTTCATAAATCTGATGCTTTGATTTAGCGTGAACATATGTTTTCTATATCACAATGCCATTACACTACTAGTTTTTTTCTTTACTTTATAAAATTCATTTCCTAAAGTGATTTTATTAGGAATTAAAAAAACATTTCAAAAGATATCGTTTGTAAATCGTTCTGATTAATTTTTTGTAAATATAGGCTAGATCGTTTTTTTTGTAATGGTTAAGATTTTATCTATATAGTTTACGGTTTAAAACGTACATCCTAAAATATTATGTTATTATATAGGCCTACGGAACGTGGTTTAAATATCTACTGAAAATTTATTGTGCAAATCTTAGCACAGACGCAAACCACTAAAGTTAAAGTTGTTATACTAATATTCATTTTTGTTATTACTGCTTATAAAATATTAAATTAATTACGTATACATATATTTAAAATTTGAAATGAAATGAATTTTACTGGAATTTAATTATTTTATAAACTCACCTTTCTTAAATTTTATTTTCCTGGAATTTAATCTTTCTGTTTTTTTTTGAAAATTTATTAATATTATTAATTAATTTAATAATTCAATAATTGTTGATTATTATATTGTTGATAAATCTGGATCGTTTTATTTTTCTGGAAGATAATTTTTGTGGAATATATATTTTTTCTGGAATATAATTTGTCTAGAATTTTGTTTTTCTACCCACTTTTGTTTTTCTAACCATCAGATCGTTTTAATTTTTGGAGAATATAATTTTGCTGGAATTTAGCTTTTTTTTCAATTCACCTTTTTTACAGTTTAGAGTTAGTTTTTCTAGATTTTAGATAATCCTAGATTTTAGAGTTTAGATAATCCCAGATTTTATAGTTCAGATAATCTTAGATTTCATATTTAAGATAAACCTATTCATAAATTTAATTTTATTTTATTTGATAAATTAAAGTCTAAGTACTTTCAATGGCGTGATCGATTCAAAGTCCAATTTAATATTAATATAATTTTTGTAAATAAATAAATAATAAAAATAGCGATAAATGAGATAGCCTCTTGACTTTTGATAAAAACAAAGTTTAAAATAAATGATGACTTTGTGTTAATTCAAGAGAGATAAATTACAAGTTGTCGAGACGCGTAATATTAATTTTTTTTATTAATAATCATATTAATTATAAAGAGAAAAATTTTCTAATGGCGTTACAATTTTTTTTTAAGTTTTGTCTTTAGACAAATTGCTCGAATTTTTAATTATATAAACAAATGTAAAACAAATAGTAATTATCACCTATTCATAAATTTAATTTTATTTAATTTTATTTGATAAATTAAAGTCTTAAGTCCTTATGATAAGGATAATAATTTCAATGGCGTGATCGATTCAAAGTCCAATTTAATATTAATATAATTTTTGTAAATAAATAAATAATAAAAATAGCGATAAATGAGATAGCCTCTTGACTTTTGATAAAAACAAAGTTTAAAATAAATGATGACTCTGTATTAATTCAAGAGATAAATTACAAGTTCTCGAGACGCTTGTTAGTAAAATTAATTTTTTATTAATAATATAGTAAAGCATATACCGATGATGGTGCATTTTTTTATATTATAAATAAATATCCTAAACGAACTAAGTTTTGTGTATTTAGGCAAATTGGTGGTACTTTCAATTTTATAAACAAATGTAAAAGACTTATCGAGTCTACTATATCTAACTTTTTTTTCAACTAGTTTAAATCGTGTAATAAAATTATTTTCCGTTATTAACCGGAAGAATTTTACTTTCAAATAAATAAAGATAATATTCAGTAGATTTTTTATAGCATTTTCAAAAAAAAAAATTACTGAAGGCGGGCGATCTTGCATAAGATAATTTAAAAAGAGGACTCTACTGACAAACAAATTATCAAACTAAAAAAATAAAATAAGACTCTACTGACGAGTAAATTATCAAATTTTACAACTACATAAACAAAACAGTAGTCTTATATTATTTGAAACGCAAAATTTATACATACTTTTACTTTGAGACGTCGCAAAGTTTCTGCAACTTGCCAAGAGGCAAAATGATACTTTTAGTTTCCGATTTTATCAAAAAATAATTAAAAAATCTGATCACGATGGAATTTTGCGTTTGCTTTGAAACAATTGTGGCCATGAAACAGATTATCGGTTAATAAAAATCTTGTGCCAAATATTTATGCAAATAGAGTAAAAATTACAATAAGTAGACATTATATATATATATATATATATATATATATATATATATATTTTTTTGGTTATAGCATATGCAATTATTTTATAACCATTTTAATTACAATAAAGAAATGTTTCGGTTGAATTCGAAATAAATCATGAAGTGATCACAAAGATCGAGTGTCGATACGTCATTTGTTTATTTTGCTATTTATGTGCACATTCAATAGGAGAGACGGGGTTAAATGTCACACTTTGATGATTGAAAACTTGAGTTATAATTATTTTCATCACAAAACATTTTTGTTTTAAATCTTGGATTTAAATACCACCCGAAATGTTTTCAGAGAAAAAGTTTATATCTTCTCCTTATGATTGCAAGGTCAGAAATTGAAAGTTAAAATTGATAATTAAAAAACATTAGATTTTTTAAAAGCTTTGAAGAAATTACATTTTTGAGAATTTTGAAATTTTTGAAAAAAATTGACTTGAATTGAACTTGAAAAATTCGATTTTTTTCGTATATTTCCAAATACTTTGGAAGTTTGAACTTTTTATCTTCCCGTAGGGTAAGTTATAGTAATTGCAAAAAAATCTAAAATAAAAAATTTTATATATCTTTACGTTTCAGAGGTTTCTGAACATGACTTTTTTGAAAAATATTTAGGAAATTTTCAACTGTTTAACTTCCCGTGAGGTAAGTTATAGTAATCGCCAAAAAATTGAAAAAGAAAATATTTATATATCTGTACGCTTCAAAGGTTTTTGAACATTTTGGTATTTCTTAGAAAAAATTGATGTTGGTTAGTGTGTATGTGTGTGTATGTATGTGCGGATACAATTTTTGGTCGACGATTTCGGGAACACGGATCAACCGATTTGAATAATTAAAAAACATTCAATTCGTATTGATAAGGAAGGAGATGTGCTGATTAGTTTTTGGCAAAGGCAGGTCCAGCCGTTACGGAGATACGAGACAAAAGAGCCAAAAATGGTAATTCTTGTTTTGAGAGAATGGAGAGTCCAATTTTAATAATTCAAAAAATATTTTTCTTGTATTGATAAAATGAAGAACTGATGAAATTTTTTGGAAGGCAGGTCTAGCGGTTTCGAAGATCTAACAAAAGTGAATAATAATGCCATTTGCACATTAAATTATCATATGTTTTATAGATATTTTAATAATAAGAACAAATTTTGCTTACATTTCTATGTAATAGTGCATTTTTAGCGACGCCCACGCGCTTTCATATTTCGTTTCTACGCAGCTAACGTATCGCGATTGCTTAGAAAAAAGTTCATAATTTCCAAAATATTTCTAAGTATAAGAAAAACAAATTTTTCAAAAAGGTCATTTTTTTCAAAAATTTTAAAAATTTCAAATTACTTTTTATATCAATCTTCTAAAAAAAATTGAATCTTTTTTAAATAATTTTAATTTTTGGTACGGAAAGTTCTAGCAATTTGCCTTAAGGCACGATGCCTTGCACTGTTTTACAAACAAATTCAAAACATTTAATAACTTTAAATTACGGCTCGGGAAGTTTCAACAATTTGCTTAAAGCTAACTTAAC